CCAGGGGCCGCTCTCTTCTGGGAGGGGCTGGAACCTGGTGGTGTGGGGTGTGCTGGGAGGGCACCTTCTCTGACACAGCGGGCAGGACGGCTTTGCCAGGAGCACCCCAATTTTCAGACCCTTTGTGGAAACGGTTGGGGAAGAAGAGCTGCAGGTTTGGAGGTGCCGAGAAAGACCATGTGGTGCGGGGCAGCTGCCCCATGACCACCTGCAGACCTGGCTTCTGACCCTACAGGGAGGCAGAGGGACTGGGAGTCACTGCAGCTGCCTCCACCGCGCAGGAGCTAAGGGGGAAAAGGAGCCTTCGCTCTCCTTCTGCATTTCCTCAAAGGTCACAAAGCAAACCGTGGCACTGGCCCTTTGCCATGTGGATATCAGAGTCATAGAATGGTTTGGGTTTCTGACTGCACTGGAAGAGACTCCTGTCTCCGTATCCTTTCCAGGATCTGGCTCAAAAGCGATCCTCCAAGCTCCAGAACCTCCTCCTCATCTTTCTGTATCTTAATTGCATGCGAGAGAGCGAGCTGAGTGGGTGAAGGGAGCGATGCACAGCAGAGCCTCTCTCCAGCCCTCACCCGGAGAAGGGGTAAGGCCGGAGGTGCCCCCTTGCCGGAAGCGGCACTGCCCTTCAGAGGGATGACGAACAGGTACGCTCAAGGCACGGGCATGGAAATCCCAGCACGTTCATCCCTACCAGGGAGTAAAGGGTCACATCCTTTTGCCTCTCAGAGCTCACACGCCATGCACCCACCCTCCCTCCCTGCAGTAGCCACCCTTCCAGTGGAGCAGCGCTCCTTCAAGAGGCAGGGACGCCGTGTGCTGAGGCACCCACTGCCCTCTTGGCCTTTCTAATAAGACACCAGCCGGGCCGCCGGCGGGACCGAGGGACGGCTGCAGCTAGCACACGGTCAGGGTTTAGCCCGCAGCTCCTGCTGTAAAGCTCCCACGTCACTCCCAAGATGCCCCCAGGGGAAGGCCCGCAGGCTGCTATGAACCCCGGCAGCGGGCAAAGAGAAACGGGAAGAAAAGCGAGGAGGCAGCGAGCTACCTACCTTTCTGACGGATTGGTTGAGTCCTCTGGGCGGCTGCTGCTGCTTCTGCTGCGC